TCACAAACAGCGTGCCAAAGTCCCGCGTCACCCTGGCAGTTGGAGGGGTGGGGGTGGACAGGTGAGCAGGCAGCTGAGCAGGCAGGTGAGTGGGCAGTGAAGAAAGCAGTTGAGTGGGCAGGGAAGTGGGCAAGAAAGCGTGGAGGTGAGTGGGCAGGTGAGTGTACAGGGAAGGGTACAGATGAGTGTACTGATGAGTGGTGAGAGTAAGGAGAATGAACAAGTGTAGGTGATCATACAGAAGGTTGTACAGGTGAGTATATTGGTGACAGTACAGATAAAAGTGCAGGTGAGTGCAAAGGTGCAGGTACAGGTGAGTGGGCAGGTGAAGGCACAGGTGAGCGGGCAGGTGAGAGTAAAGGTAAGTGTACAGCCGAGTTTGCAGGTGGTGAGATCATACAGGTGATCGTACAGGTGATCATACAGGTGATTTCACAGGTGAGGGTACCGGTGAGGGTACCGGTGAGGGTGAAGGTGAGTGTGCAGGTGAAGCATACTTGGTCCAGCACAGTTTGTCCAGCAGCTGCTTCATGCTCATCTGATCCCACTCAAGGGCGTGCGGGGCATCCCAGGGGGCATCAGCCGGGATCTGCACAAAGACAAAGATCCCCCGTATAGCCTCACACAGACTGGAGGGGCAAGGGCTGTTAGCAGCGGGTAGCAGCGCCTATGAAGGCTGGCACTGTGGCACAACGAGGCGGTGGGTGGGTGGCCACCACCACGCCCACCCGGCCGCCTTTCTCTCCCCTTTACTACACACCGCTACCAAGTACTAATTTGAGGCCGAGTCGACCTAGGGGAGGCCCAAAACCAGCTCAGATAATGGCTATCACTGGCATTGGCAGTAAGCAGGTATCTATCTCGGGTCGCTGGGCTCGTAGTGCAGCGAGCGAACCACTACACTACCGCTCCCCTTACACACATGTAGTGAGCTAACTACCCTGCACGGAGGAGTTACAGCTACGAAGGGTCTGACCCTCACTCGGGTCCTGGCCACGTGTTGATGCCTCTAAAGCATACAGCTTGTAGGACATGGAGCTTCCAGCTTGTAGGATGCAGCGACCCTGGTCTCTCTCAGGGACCCACCTTATATCCCCACCGGGTTGGGGCCACTCCGCCCTCGGCCCCGCCTGTCTTCTAGAGCGTTCTAACTCCCCCTCGATCCCTCTCGGGAGCTCTCCCCGGACACGTGATCACCCACTAGCCTCCCCCCCCCGCCTGGGGGCCCCTCTGTCGACACTCCGGATCACGTGTCTGCAGGGTCAACCAGAGTGCCATGGCCCGGGGCAACCCTGCCCCTTGGCTGAAACTCTCCTACTCCCCCTGGTGGGAGCCCTCACCACACGCTATGCGTGGTGCCCGCGCTAACCCAACGCTGGCCAAGCCCCGCTAGGGCTGGTACCACACCCGCCCATGGGGTGTACGTGATGACGGTGCATCGCACGCCACGGCCCTCTCAGGCCAGCACCATACAGTGACATCAACGATGTCACTACACACACATACACACATATACATGCTGCACATACAGCAAGAACCTCCTGGTACCACTGATTGGCAGTAGACGTCAGAAAAATGAGTGGCAACCTCTCCTCCACAGGCAAACAAGCTCACAGTTGCCTGGGAATCACAGCTTCTCACACCTCACCACCACAGTCAGTCCCACGCCCCCTTCATTCTTTTGTTCAGAAGAAGAGTCACTCCCTGTTGTTTGGCAATCTCTTGCCCCAAGTAGAGGACTGTCCACACCTCATGGTGACTGGAGCCACAGCCAGTCCACCGGACCTCCTGAATACCACAGAGATCCAGGCAGTAACAGTCCAGCTGCCAAAGTAGGAGTGGCAGCCTCTCCTCCGTAGTGAGCATTCGAACATTCCACGTGGCCACTCGCAGTGGCTTTTTACTATTTCCGGAGGAACTCCGAGAGGAAGGATTCAGTCTCCTGGCTCCGCCAAATGGGGTTTGGCCAGGACACGTCAGAGGCACCTGTCCCCTCCCCCGGGGCCTCCGGTGGTGATTGAGTAGGGGCGCCACGGTGGGTAGGAGATGTTAACTACCTCGCCTGATACACAGGAAGTCGTGGAATCGATCCCAACGCCTGCTTTATATTTGGAGTTTGCGTGTCTCTCTCCCCCTGGTCGCGTGGATTTTCTCCGGGTCCTCCGGTTTTCCCCCTCCACATTTAGAAACAACGTCATGCGTTTAGAGAGTATTTGGCTGCTATACATTTCCACGTGATGATGATGAGTCACTTCGTTGAGCTATCATTTGTGATAGCCAGGTCGCCTCTGATAAAGAGCTCAGTGGGGCCATGCCTGGTAAAATAAAAACAATTTGTGTTTAGTTTAGTGGTGATTGATGGTGGAGGGTGTCACCAGCCGCACCCCCCCCCCCCCCCGCCCTGTTTAGTCACTCTGGCGGCTGCGAGCGGCATGAGAGGGAAACAGCCGAGATTGTTATTGGCTACGGGCCCCAAACACAGCGCTCGGTTTGGGAGTTACCGACGCACACAAAGACAAAGATCCCCCCCTCTCCCCGTATAGCCTCTAACAGGCTGTTGGGGAAAGTGCTGCTAGTAGCGAGTAGCAGCAGCGCCCATGAAGGCTGAAACTGTGGCACACGAGAGGGTGGGTGGCCAGCATCACGCCCGCCCGCCGGCCCGCCGGCCCGCCGACCCGCCGGCCCGCCTTTGTCTGCCCATTAGCGATGTTTGCTGCACACCGAAACAGGTATCCATTTGAGGTTGAGTTGACCTGGGGGATGCCCAGGACCGGTTCAGACAATCGTAACTGGATGTTGGTGGCCGTGAGTGGAAATCGATCTTGGGTCGCCGGGTTCGCAGGGCAGCACGAACCACCACGGTCAACCGCTGCCCACGCGCACACACAACACGCGTACACACACACACACGTGTACACACACACAACACACGTGTACACACACACACGTGTACACACACACACACACGTGTACACACACAACACGCGTACACACACATGTGTATACACACACAAGACGCGTGCTCACACACACGTGTACACACACAAAACACGCGTACACACACACGTGTACACACACACACAACACGCGTACACACACACACGTGTACACACACACAACACGCGTACACACACACACGTGTACAGACACACAACACGCGTACACACACACAACACGCGTACACACACGTGTACACACCCACAACACGCGTACACACACACGTGTACACACACACACACAACACGCGTACACACACACGTGTATACACACACACACGTGTACACACAAACACAACACGCACACACAACACACGTATACACACACGTTTACACACATACACACACGTGTACACACACGTGTACACACACACACACGTGTACACATAACACGCGTACACACACACACGTGTACACACACACACAGCACGCGTACACACACCCCTGTACACACACATGTGTACACACACACGTATACACACACACACAACATGCGTACACACACACGTGTACACACACACACAACACGCGTACACACACACGTGTACACGCGTACACACACGCGTACACACACGCGTACACACACGTGTACACGCGTACACACACGCGTACACACACGCGTACACACACACACACAACACGCACACAACACGCGTACACACACACACGTTTACACACATACACACACGTGTACACACACGTGTACACACACACACCTGTACACACACACACCACGTGTTCCCCTCTCACCTCCTCCCCCATGTGGTCCAGCGTGCGCAGGAGGTTGTTGAGGTCGAGGATGGCCAAAGGGTTCCAGAGCGTGGGGAAGGCCCCCCGGAAAGGGGAAGCACGGCCCTGGTGGAGGTAGAGGGAGGGGGGGGGCACAGGGGGGCGTGGGGGAGGGGCGTTTAGAGGAGATACGGAGGACATGAAGACACGAATTGAGACAGAGGGAGACAGTGGAAACACAGGGAGACAGTGAGACACGGTGGTGGTGCATCTGCCAGCCATCTCAGTCAGTCAACCCCATGGCACCACCTGGATCTGTCCCTTGACCTCCTCCTGCCAGCAGCTAGAGTATACTACACTTCACGTGGAATCAAAAGTGGTGCACCTCGCCTGGCTCAAGCGCCGCCGCGACGTCACCGACACTTAGTGGTGAACGGCGGTTGTTGTTGTTGAGTGGGTGGGTGAGTGGGTGGGTGAGTGGGTGACTGAGTGGGTGGGTGAGTGGGTGGGTGAGTGGGTGACTGAGTGGGTGGGTGAGTGGGTGACTGAGTGGGTGGGTGAGTGGGTGGGTGAGTGAAATGGGCTGTGGGAGAGATGGACTGATGCGGTACAGGAGGATGTGGAGCTGAGTGGATGTTCCCATGACCACCAAACCAGAGGTGTCAAGATCGGCATCTGTGGAGGACGCTGCTACTGGGCAGTCGCCCTCCAGGAACAAGGAAGGTGCTCATGACTCACTGGGTCAGTGACTCACTGTCATTGGCACCTCATAGCAACATAATAACAGCGGTTGTTGTTAAATAAGTGGGTGAGTGAGTGGCACGGGCTGGCTGCTGTTGGTGTGTGTCCGGGGGGCACACGCACGCACGCACGTGCTTGTAGTACAGGAGGCGCTCCCGCTCGTTCACGCGGTAGGTCTGCACGCCCAGATCGCGCGCCAGGCCCAGGATTCGGTCCTGGGTGGGCCCCACGTAGGCGCCCCCCACGTCCACGTAGCCGAACTCGGGGCCCTGGCGAGGGGGTGGAGGAGGGTTGCGTGGGGTGACGAGCGCGGAGGGAAGTGAACAACGGACGGATGCAATGAACGGGGGGGGGGGGGGGGGAATAACATTGACGCGCCTGTGTGGATTCGGTGGAGCCGCCGGCGTCTGCATTGTCATCCTGGGTGGTGGTGTGAGTGAGCACTCGCACCCCCACCTACCCCGAGATGTTAACTGCCTCGCCCGGCATGCAGGTGGTCGTGGGTTCGATCCCAGACTCTTACGATGCCTGCCGCTGTATGCTTTGGAGTTTGTGGTGTCTCTCTTTTTCTGTCTCTCCCCGTGGTGGTCACTGCATGGATTTTCTCTCCGGGCTGTCCGGGTTTTTCTCCTCCTCGTTTAGAATCGACATCACACCTTTCAAATGTATTTGGCTATACTACCACAAAGGTGCACACGATGACCATGACGACGAGCCGCCACTTGCGTTGATCTACCATCTGTGGTGTCCGGGTCGCTTCTGTAGAACAGCTACGTAGCTACTCAGTGGGCCTTACAGCTGGTAAAATAAAAACAAGTTTCGTTTTAGTTTCGGTCTCTATGCGTATGGGTCTATGTAGGTATCTAAATGGGGCTCGATGAGTCTGTGGATATCTGTGGGTCTCCTTGGGTATCTGAGTATGGGTTTCTGTGGATCTCTTTGGATCGCTGTGGGTCTTTATGCAGCTCTATGAGACTGGATCACTTTGGGTCTCTATGAGTGTGGGTTTCTGTCGGTCTCCGTGGGGCTCTATGAGTCTCTGTGGGTCTCTATGAGTATGGGTCTCTATGGGTCTCTGTGGGTCTCTATGCAGCTCTATGAGACTGGATCACTTTGGGTCTCTATGAGTGTGGGTTTCTGTGGGTTTCCATGGGTCTCTCTGAGTGTGGGTTTCTGTGGGTCTCCATGGGGCTCTATGAGTCTGCTATAACATGATACGCTGCCACTCCGTTAAGCTATCATCTGTGGCGGCCAGGTCGCTTGTCTGAGAAAGAGCTCCATGGAGTTCAGTGGGGCCTTGCAGCTGGAAACACAAACTCTTTTTAGGGTGGTGAAAGTCCACCCGCCCCACCTCCCCCTCCCTCCCCCTTCACGTGGTGGTGGTGAAAGTCCACCCCTCCCCCCTCCCCCTCCCACTCTGTCCCTTTCCCCCTTCACGTGGTGGTGAAAGTCCACCCCTCCCCCCTCCCCCTTCACGTGGTGGTGAAAGTCCACCCCTCTTACCCCCCTCCCACTCCCCCCCCCTTCACGTGGTGGTGGTGGTGAAAGTTCACCCCCCCTCCCACTCCCTCCCCCTTCACGTGGTGGTGAAAGTCCACCCCTCTTACCCCCCTCCCACTCCCTCCCCCTTCACGTGGTGGTGAAAGTCCACCTCTACACCCTCCCCCCTCCCACTGCGTCCCATTTCCCCTTCACGTAGTAGTGAAAGTCCACCCCTCCCCCTCACGGTGGCTAGGAGATGTTAACTACCTCGCCTGGTATACAGGAGGACGGGAGTTCGATCCCTGACGATGCCTGCTGCTGTCTTTTTGGCGTTTGCGTGTCTCTCTCTCTCTTCCCATGGTGGTCGCGTGGATTTTTCTCCAGGTCCTCCGGTTTTTCCCCTCCACATTTAGAATCAACGTCGTGCGTTTTATTCGATCTATTTGCCGTGCCGCTATACATTTCCACACGACGACGATGACGATCGGCTGCCACTCCGTCGAGCAGCTGTCATTTGCGATAGCCAGGTGAAAGTGTCCCCCTCCCTCCCTCTGCCTCCCCCACCTCACCTGGATGGTGAAGGTTCGACCCCCGACGCGGTCGCGCGCCTCCAGCACCAGGACGTTGACTCCGTGGTGTGCGAGGTGGCGCGCAGCGTACAGCCCTGGTGCGTTCAAAGACAAAAAGACCCCCGTGTAGCCTTAACAGAGTGTTGGGGCAAGTGCTGATAGCGAGCATCTGTGAAGGCTACCGGCACTGTGGCACAGGAGGGGGTGGGTGGCATGCCCGGCTAGAAACTCTGTCTCCCCAGTGGCCACGTACTCAATTAAGGCAGGGTTCAGATAATGAGAGGCCCAGGTAGGTTCCAGGTCACATAATCTCTATCACTGGCGTTGGTGGCTGTGAGCGGGAATCAAACCTGGGTCTCTCCCGGGTTCGTAGCGCCACCGCTCCCCCACACACTGCCCACATGCGTGGTGACATCACCAAGGCGCTTGTGCCAGGCTAGGTGCACTTTTAGGTCACGTGAAAGAGTCTAAGGCTCGCTGTTGGCAGGTCACAGGATAGACCCAGCAGATGTCATGAGTTGACTGATTGAGATGGCTGGCAGATGCACCAATTGTGCTCTCTCCCACGTATGCCAACTTGCTGTGCTTTAGCCACCCGGCGCTCCGCTAGTTGTTGTGAGCGTCGCTCCTCCGCCCTCCGTTGTTGCTGGAGGGCGACTGCCTCCAGCTGCCCAGCAGCGTCCCCCACGAGCCTCCTCCACAGAGGCCGATCTTGACACCGCTGGTACCAGTCATCGGCAAGTCCACTCAGCTCCACGTCCTCCTGTACCGCATCACTCCATCTCTTATCTAACCCGTGCCGCGCCCGTTTAGCCCCATCTGTCCGGCCAAACAGAAGCTGTTTTGGCATGCGGCACACACAGGCACGCACGCACACACAAAGACAAAGATCCTCCGTGTAGCCTTTATCAGACTGTTAGACCAAGTGCTGTTAGCGGAGACCTATAAAGGAAGGCATGACACACGAGGGGGTGAGTGGCAAACATCACGCCGGGCCGCCTTTGTCTCCCCAGTGGCGATATTTACACACCACATCAGATACTCATTTGAGGCTGAGTCGATCTAGGGGAGGCCCAGGACCGGTTCAAATATTCGTCACTTGGTGTTGGCTGCAAGCGGGAATCGAACCCAGGTCGCCGGGTTCGTAGTGCAGTGCGTTAACCGTTGTACGACCGCTCCCCACTATATATACACACGCACAAACACGCGCGCGCACGCACACACAAACGAACATGCACATACACGCACACACACACACGCACACACACACACGCACACACACACACACACGCACACACACACACACACGAACGCACACACACACACGCACACACACACACACACGAACGCACACGCACGAACACACACACACACGAACACGCACACACGCACACACACACACGCACACACACACACGAACACACACACACACGAACACGCACACACACACACACGAACGCACACGCACACACACACACGCACACACACACACGCACACACGCACACACACACACACGAACGCACACACACACACGCACACACACGCACACACACACACGAACGCACACGCACGAACACACACACACACCAACACACACACACGCACGAACACACACACACGCACGAACACACGCACACACACACACGCACACACACGCACACACACACGCACACACACGAACGCACACGCACGAACACACACACGCACGAACACACGCACACACGAACATGCACACACACACGAACATGCACACACACGAACATGCACACACACACGCACACACACACGCACGCGCACACACACGCACACACACACGCACGCGCACACACACGCACACACACACGCACACACACGCACGCGCACACACACGCACACACACACGCACGCGCACACACACGCACACACACACGCACACACACACACGCACACACGCACACACACACGCACGCGCACACACACGCACACACACACGCACGCGCACACACACGCACACACACACACACGCACACACACACGCACACACACACACACGCCACACACACACGCGCACACACACGCACACACACACGCACACACACACGCACGCGCACACACACAGGCACGCGCACACACACGCACACACACACACACACGCACACACACACACACGCACACACACAGGCACGCGCACACACACGCACACACACACGCACACACACACGCACGCGCACACACACGCACACACACAGGCACGCGCACACACACGCACACACACACGCACACACACACGCACGCGCACACACACGCACACACACACACACGCGCACACACACGCGCACACACACGCACGCGCACACACACGCACGCGCACACACACGCACGCGCACACACGCGCACACACACACACGCACACACACACGCACGCGCACACACACGCACACACACAGGCACACACACACGCACGCGCACACACACGCACACACACACGCACACACACACGCACACACACGCACACACGCACGCGCACACACACGCACACACACAGGCACACACACACGCACGCGCACACACACGCACGCACACACGCACGCGCACACACACGCACACACACACGCACACACACACGCACACACACACGCACACACACACGCACACACACAGGCACGGGCGTGACTGCGAGCAGAAGGAAGCCTGCACTGTCGCCATAGCAACCAGCGGGGTTTCCCTGGCAACGGGAAGCAGGGAGGAGACACACAAAGACAAAGGTCCCCCGTGTACCCCGCAAAGGCACTTGGGGCAAGTGCTGTCAGTTAGCACCGACACAACAGCGGCAACAACAATAGCCACCGCGGCGCATATGCCAGGCTAGGTGCACCTTCAGGGCCACGTGACGTGTGGAAGGCTCTTCACCTTCAGGTCACGGGAGTGACCCAGGTGTTATGGATTGAAAGCTGTGCCAGGCTAGGTGTCTGTGCCAGGCTAGGTGTCAGAGCTCACGGGACAAACCCAGGTGCCGTGGCTGAGATGACTGTGGCAGATGCACCAGGAAAGCTCCCCCGCTGTTGTTGCAGAGCGACTGCGTCTAATTGCCCAGTCGCCTCAAAGTGCACATAGCCTGGCACTGCTCGGCAGCGTCCTTCACGAGCCGCCTTGACACCGCTGGTGCCAGTCATTGGCCAGCGCACTTGCATGTAGTCCGTGCCGCATTAGTTTAGCCACCTCTAATTCGGCCAAACAGACTTCTGCTGTCAAACCAGAGCTGGTCATAAGCTTACTGCCGAAGTACAGAAGCGTATCCACTCCCTCCACCACTGCCCCACCACTCATAGGGAGTGGAGTGTTTTATGTCATCAACTACCCAGGCAGCCGCTTAGTTTTGGTGGGGCTGATGGTAAGGCCCCCACCTCTTAGTGGCACGCTCCAGGTTCAGCAGCAGTGTCTCCAACTCTTTTTGAGAGTGAGCAGCAATTACCAGTTCATGAGCATACATAACATGTCCATGGGAAGCTTCTAGAACTTCACAGTACGTGGTCAAAGCACGAAGAACAACAACCCAGAGCCCTGGCCGACTGGTGCTACCATACTCCTTTCACCAGGTCAATAGAGCAGAGATGCATGTCCCGATGACATCCCGTACAGCCTCTGCTGTAGCAGACGGACTGAGACTATGGCGTCCGTGCAGGGCCCCCTCGGCCCTTAAACACATTGGGGCCTCTGCAACGTGGGGAGGGGGGAGGGTGCTGAATAATCATTGGCAAGAACTTTAAGTTAAGTTTAAGCTCATGTTTGAATTTGTCATGCGGATGGTGGTTTCCCATGCAGCCAGTTGACCGGCTATTTCGCACTGGAGCTAAAGCAGCAGCAGCAAGCACACAACGGCATGGGACATCGACGCCGTCGTAGGGAGATCGACTGCAGGGCAGGGCCCTCGTCAAACGGGATGTTCCGACCGCGAACTAAACGTGGCGATTTGACGGTCGTGAACGAAACTCGCGCTTAAATCAGTGCCAATGTATAACGTGGGAGCAACAGGCGCCAGATTAAACCATAACAACAATAAGAGGTTTTTTTGGGTTAGATCGCATAAATATATAAATGTGTCGTTAAACCCGCCACCACCCGACACAGCCAACTAGTAAGGGTTGTCACGTCAACAGAACGTGGCCAATTCGTCACTAGTACAGCACTAGTGTGTAGTGTATAGTGTAATGTATAGTGTAGTGTATAGTAGTGTAGTGTATAGTAGTGTAGTGTACTAGTGTAGTGGTGATACGCGCTGGGATTAGGGATCGTATGCCAGCGCGTAATGATTGGCTGTGTATGTGGTGACGCGCGCTGACGGTGGAGGATCAGGGGTCAGCGCGGGGTCGTGGGTTACGGGGTGCTGATTGGCTGTGTGCCGGTGACGCGCTGAGAGGGAGTGATCAGGTGACAGCGCGGTGTGATTGGTGGAGTAGTGTTAACACGCGCTGGGGGAAAACGGATCGTAGAGAGAGCGCGTCGTGATTGGTTAACTAAGGAGCGATGCTCACGTAGACGTCCGCATCAGCTCCGTCTCCCGTGAGCAGGGGCTATAAAAGGGGATGCACACAGGCGTAAGGGCAGTATGTAACCAGCGAAGAATGAAGACAGGGATCGAAGAGATAGGGCCCTGCGGTACCTAGTCCCGCTGTCCTAACGGGACCGGGACTCTGTGTAACCCAGAGGCGAGTGTATTGTGTGTAGCCATAGGCATAGGGTCTACACGAGCCGAATGCATTGTGTGTAGCCAGAGGCATAGGGTCTACACGAGTCAAGTGTATTGTGTGTGGCCAGAGGCATAGGGTCTACACGAGTCAAGTGTATTGTGTGTAGCCAGAGGCATAGGGTCTACACGAGTCAAGTGTATTGTGTGTAGCCAGAGGCATAGAGTCTACACGAGTTAAGTGGAGTGTATAGTACAAAGAATAGAGACCACACGTTGTATTGTGACACGTCAAGATTTAATAAAAGTGTGTTACCCGTCAAGAAGTTCCTGCCGTCATTTCCAATACTTCAACTGGCGTCAGAAGTGAAACGGTCTTCCAAGCATGGATACAAGGAAGACCCGTCGGACCCACGGGATTGACCGCGGGG